ATCGCATAATACACCACGTTGACGACGATGTATGTGCGGTCCATCTTTTACTTTTACCAGGTAGATTCAGTTGATAAACAATAATTAAATATACAAAGGGCAAAAAAATAAAATAAAAAAGAAGAAGCAAACAAAACACTCCAGTATCGTCAAGATTATGCAATCTTGACGACTTCGGTGATAAGAATGCGGCGTAGCAGGAGGTGGTGTGGGGAGAGATTGGATATTAGGGCTTTCATATATAATTGGTAAAATTTTTTTCAAACGGTCTGATATGAGATTGATGATGCGGCGGTCAACAGCAAGGAGGACGATGAGGAGAACGGCGAGGCCGAGGGACAAAGACGGCTTGAATGAAAATCCTCTTTCACCATGAACACCGGCAAGTTAAGAGAAGAGAGAGAAATTCACCCAAAACAAAAAAATTAAAGATGAGAGAAATAAGATTTCATTACCCACATCACCCAAAACGACGCAGTTTAGGTCAATGTCTATTTGGATAATTTCAACTTCTTCAATTTATTATTATTATTATTGAATAAAGAATATTGGGGGGTATTTTCGTATTTTTACCTACTCCTCTAACAAAAAAAACCCTTATTTGCAACTTTTTGAAATTAGAAGGGTCAATTTTGAACAGCCGGGGTGCTATTTGTAACTTTTTAAAACCAGAAGGGTGTTTTTTGCACTTACCCCATATTTTATATCATCAAAGTTTTAAGTTTATTTAAAAACAAAAAACTTCTTATACGTCAGACATGCGTAGCCAAATTTCCAACGTCCAACTTGTGCTGGTGGGACCTTGGTTCTGTGAGGCTATCGCTGTTCATTTATAAAGCGCCTTGAAGATCTGCACGGAGGAAGGCATGCATATATGACCTTGAACAGTCGAATTAAAGACTTGATCAATGAGAGTACAATTAGTCCGCAAAGTTTACGTGACCGTACCATACTAGCTATACCACAAGCATATGTCGTTCCCAAGTCATAGTTTATGGATATTGACCAATGACTTGCCGGAGAGTGACAGTGACAAGGAGCCAACATAAGAAAGTACTGTCACTCTCCGGCAAGTCATTGGTCAATATCCATAAGGGACAGAGATTTGAAAAGTTTCATATGGTGGGCGTGTGGACCTGTACGTGGTGGTGGATTATGCGGCTCTTCTTGAGGAAAAGAGCCTCCCAGTATTGACCGCAGATTGTTGGTGAAAAGTTTCAATGTAATTTGTGGTGTTTAGGTGGTCATGTGGATTGATTTTCGAGATAAAAGTCGGTCTGTTTGATCTTAAAAGGCTTGAGAGAGAGGCAGAGATAGAGATAGAGATAGATAAGAGGAACTAATGGTCCCAATTGTAGAAAAGGGAGTCACATTCGGTGAATCCTTATTTGACATTCTTTTGTGTTAACTTTCAAAGAGATTAATGCCTAGCTTGAAATGAATGATGTCTTCTAACAAATCTTCCCAGAAGATTGTGAGAATCTGCAATAGTTTGATAGCTTTATTAATCCGAAATTAAGGACTAATTTGGCAACAGTTTTTGTTGCGTGTTTTGTATTGCGAGTAGTATACTGTAGCGATATCGAACCAAAACACCACAACACCTCTAGATAATAAAATGTGTTTGTATTTCCCTCCCTTACCTTCATCTACATTATCATTGCATGAGAGTAGGAGAATTCCTCATACCTGGAAAATGTAGGTAGACAAATTGGTTGATTTCAATGAAATCTTATCTTACCTACCAGGCTACCCATTAAGGAGTTGAAATTAGAGTAAGGGGTTTAATTTTTATATGAAATTTATAGTTTAAAAATTAGGACTAGTTTTTAACTTTGGAGGTTTCAAGTTTACATATAGTATTTTGAGTCAATTACTTCAACCTTCACATAAGTTTGGTCTAATAACTATGGCTTAAAGTTTTGCAAAAGTTATTTTGACACCTTTTTCAGTTATTTCAAAACATTTTACATTATAAACTTATAAACGTGTCTATAGATTTTCAATTCTACATATTTGATTACTTAAGTTTTTAGAGCCACTAATTTTGTACTGAAATTTGCAAATTTTCAATATTATCCACAATACTTTATTATACACCCCTTAAATTAAGGGATTATTATCCACAATACTTTATTATACACCCTTAAATTAAGAGATTATTACATATAAATGATACTAATGATCTATATTTATCCTTTGATGGAGTTAAAATTTCATAATTTTGAAAAAATGAATACATAAAAAAACACTGTTTACCCTCATAGAGGTACCACATTTAGGCACATATGTACCACTTTTTGTGTATCCAGGTACCATTTTTTGTCATACACAAAAAAGTGGTATCTGATACATAAAAAATGATACCTATGCGAATAAAAGTGGTACCTGTATGCTCAAACAAAAGTAGGGGTGCAAATTGGGCGGGCTAACCCAGCCCAACCCAAGTCCAACCCGAAATTTGGAAATTTGGACTTTAAGTTTACAAATTGGGCTTATGTTCGGATTGGGTTTTATCAAAATCCAGACTTATTCGGGTTGGACTCGAGCTCAACCCGAGCCCAAAATATAAAAAAAATTTAAAAATTTCATTTTTTTTTCTCCTCTCTCTCTCCTCTCTCTTCTTTCTCTCTCTCTTCTTTCTCTTTCTCTCTCTACTACTATCCCCATACATTCAAGTTAGCAGTTGCAGAGAGAGAGAGAGAGAGAGAGAGAGAGAGAGAGAGAGAGGGGGGGCAAGCTTGAGAGTTGAGAGATAGTGGCTGAAGCTTGCGAACGGACCCAAACTGGAACAGTGGGCGATGGAAACTGAAAGATCTGGTTTTTGATTTTTTGAACAATTTGAAATGATATGCCGATATGGGTTTTGAACTTTTAATTCTTGCAGATAGATGGGTTTTGAAATATATAGGTTTTGAAGTTCTGATTCTTGTGGATTTTGTAGTTTGCAGTTACACAGAGAGAGAGAGAGAGAGAGAAAGAGAGGGGGGCGGGGGAGTTCAGAGAGAATAGGGAAGCTAAAATGATTTGCCCTAAATATAATATATATATATATATATATATAAATTTTCAAAATATATATATTTTTTAAAAAAAACTTCAACCCGTCAACCCGCTCGAAAATATTTGGACTGGGTTATGACCATAACCCATGTTGGGTACAATTCGGTTTGGCCCAACTCAACCCGATTCGGGTTGAGGTTGGGTTGAGATTGGGCTCGGTTGGGCCAGCCCAACTTGTAGCCCTAAACAAAAGTGGTATCTGTGTGCACAAAAAGTGGTATATATATTCTTAAAAGTGATACCCTGTAAGAGTGAATAGTGTTTTCTATATCCACGTCATCATTTTGGTCAACTCTATTTTTTCAAAATTATGAGACTTTGACTCCATCAAATAGTAAATATGGGCCATTAGCATATTATACATGTAAAAATTCCTTAAATTAATAAGCATATTATACATGTTATATATTTGCCCCAGAAGAATAGGGGCGTTAGCAGAAATTCAGGAAGTAAGTCGTTGAGATCTGGCTTTCAAACCTCACATTTGACTTGAATGGTGCGTATATTGTAGGACCGATGCACGAGTTCTAAGAAGAAAATATATATATATATATATATATATATATATATATATATATTTATGTACATGTTTTATATCTATAAATTGCAAATTGTAAGAGTTAACAGAAACATCTATAAACCCCTAAGAAGTATTTGCTCCCAACTTTACCGTCCAAAAAACTCATCAGTCTTTCAAACTGGAAAAGGAAAATTAAAATGCTGACTTAGTCCTCCACGTCCCACACAAAAATAGAACCAAAAAAAAAAAAAAATCAGCATTTTAATTTTCCTTTTTCAGTTTGAAAGACTGATGAGTTATTTGGACGGTAAGGTTGGGATATATATATATAAATTTTAACTAATTTCCAACCTTCTACGTAATATGATGACCTGTGTACGAAGAGGGTTGGAAATTAGTTAAAATTTTCAATTAGTGTATTTTTATTCCTTAAATTAATAAACTGTGATCCAATTATAATACTACTAATTTAGTCAAAATCAGTCATAAAGTATAATTTGGTTCATGCAATTTCAGTCAATTTTTTGGAATCGTGCCTAGACCATTCGTATTAGAAATATTGACGTGCTCAAGTCTACTTATCGTTCAAATTATATTGGAAGTCTGATATTAATATTTTAATTTCATTATATTACAAATATATATAGCTAACCTTAATAATAGCATTACAGTATTTATTAGAATAACATTATTGATAAATACTAAGAGGGCAAGCAGCAAAGGGATGAGACAAATCAACTGGTGTAGTTTATTACGAACAATATTGTAATGTTTCTGAAATTTTGATATGACATAGTATTATACTATTATTGATCCATAAAATGTTTGACACATGGTGATATAAATGTATTTTTATTTATATGACAAAATATAATGGTTAATGACATAGTATTATTTAAGTCGCACAGGGGGAGAGTTTGAGAAAAAATGAGCTTCCGAGAGTGAGAACACAAGAGTACAAGAGCGATACTCATTAAAAAAAAAAAAAAAAATTTGTGTGATATAAATATCATCAACTGAAATGATTTTCATACACGAGCAAGATGGACCTCATGGTCACTAGTTACTCTGCCAAGGGCCAAGGTCAGGCCAATAAGGCCTAAAATAAACATAGAGAGGCCTCTGGACCAGACCAACCCAACTCTGGTTTTTGGACCTGCCCAGGCCCAACACCTATTGGGTCATTGGTCATATCAAACTGGACAATATACCCGTTTGCTCATGTCACAATTGTTAAATTGTTATTAATTGCTTAATAATGACGCATTGAATGTCATTATACTTGTATACATACTTATATATCTAGACTGATAGAACTTTGGTACTACTGGGTGCACCACCACTTGGCTTTATGTATTAAAGGCTGTAAAGTGAAAGTATTATATATGTGGGTTGATCTTGTAAATAAAGTGAGATCTTTCTTTGTACAAAAAGCAGGTATATACGTATATATAAGAAAACAAAGGTAATATAAAACAGTACTTAAAAACCACATAATTGATCCATCTTTTGAACAACCAATAACACAAACTCATCAGAAAAAAGCTTCCCTTAATAAAGCTGGTGTCTTCTGTCATGCCACCATCTCCACCTGTTAAAAAACATACAATTAATGTCATGTCTTAGCAGAAAGCTATACACATATCTTTATAAATGCATATATACATTTATATGTATATATGTATATATAGAGACATAAGAGGAGCTCTTTCCCTCAAAATTTCAATCAAACGCGCACAGGCCTGTGGTCCATAGTATTGTCACTAACAAAATTCACATGCTATAATTGATGGAAAATGTTTAACTACTCACCAGTGAGTAGGGTGAAGTTACTCATCTTTATATAGTTCAATAACAAAATAACACATCACATTTAATAATAAAATAATTCACATCTTTTTATACTTTCTTGGATCAACTATTGAATAAATCGTATATAGTGTTTTTAAGTGTGGATTATTTTATTTTTAAATGTGATGTGTTATTTTATTATTGGACCATATAGGGTTGAGTAGCTTCACCCTATTCACTGTTGAGTAGTTAAGTATTATCCATTAATAAATATATTATATGTACAAATAATAGAAGTGACTTAAAGGGTTATTTGACAGGGAAAAAAAAAGAAAAAGGGTTATTTGACAAAGAGATATATATATATATATATATATATATATATGCATGTATAACAACTTTAATTAGGTCATATGTTCCTTATCAAAAAAAAAAAAAAAAAACTTTAGGTCATTTGTCAAAAAGTCAAATCTGGCCCAGTTAAAAACCTAATTAACTGGACCAGCATAGGTTGGGATTGCATAACAAGTAACGTACCCTCCCTAACCCAACTCACACCCAATTTTGGATTGAACCAGCCATTTTTCTCATCCTAAATTTGGAATAATTTGAGAATCAGTAGTACTTACCAGTGGAAATCCCATCTGGGTCGGACTTTGGTCATCTGGTTCCGTCCATACGGGTGATCCGATTCGGCCCTCTTGGTGTTCTGGTAAGCACAGCACCCAATTGAGTAGATGCCAATGAGGAAGATGAGCACGACAATGTTGAGAACAGAGAGCTTGTGCCAATCCCTTTTCACGTTCTCGAGCATGCCGGCTTTGCACGAATCACACTCGTAGCACAGGAAGTTCGGGGCATTGTTCCACCGGTAGCAGTCCGCTTCTTGGGCCAACATGCTTGCCCCATAGTTGCATGAAGTTGGAGGCTTGCAGCAACCAGACTGCATACGAATTATATTCTTAAAAAAAATTCCGACAAATATGACTTATTTTATGTGATTAGAGATTAATTTTAAGATATTAATAACGTCAGTCCCCTACTCACATAAATGATGTTTAATATTTTTTTCTAAATTTATGGAATATTTTTGTCATTTTAGCAAGTTTGCATATACAGATTATAAAGATTAATTAAGGCGGTATTATGGAAATTAACATGATTGCACTCTCCAAATTATCAATCAAAAAGCAACATGGAGGAAAAATAGAGATCTTGAATAGTACTTTATGGAAAGATATCAAATGTGTCATATAGCTGAAAATGACCCCAAATATGATAAAAATAGCAAAAGGAAACAAAAAATAATAATAATAGTATTTAAAAGAAAATTTGTGGCGATGTTCAATTTTTTTTTTTTTTTTCAGTAAGTATGCATTTTTATTTTAAATAGATCATTTTACAATATTATGTATCTACACACGCTAATCATTTTATTAGTTTATTTCTCTAAAAAGTAAAGAATAATAAAAAAATGAAAAGGAGAAAAAAAGTTGAACTATTGGTCATCAAACCCCCCACACCCAAACTAAAATAAAATAATCCGGCTTCAATTATTAATTATGCAAAAATCTCCTTACCCAAAAAATTATGCCAAAATCTGAAAATTCATTAAAAGTTTTTATAACTAATAATATAAAGTACTGACTTGTGACTTCACTCTAAAAAAATAATACTGTAATAAGAAAATTAATAGGCACGTGTTTTGAGTTGTTTTGTGTGTGTGTGAGAGAGAGAGAAAGAGAGAGAGAGAGTCCAATTATCACCATAAAATTATAACCAGAGCCAGCATAGAAGCAGACATTAATCACCCCAGAGAGAAGAATAACAATAGAAAAATCAAATTGAGCAAGAACAAATATCTATACACACACACACACACACAGAAGATCACCTGTATGGGAGACATGTCTCTCCCTAGATAATCAAGAGGAGTCCAATAAGCAATCTTAGCACAAGTTTTGGAATTCAGTATGCAGCTTCTGATGGTCATCCAGTAATGAGGATCCTTAATCCTCTTCCTCAGCCACGGCGAGTAGTCATCCAGATGATACTCCTTATAAACCCTACCAGGAACCTGCACACCACCACCTTGGGCGGTGACGACGAACCCGAACACGGTTAAACCCATTAATGCCGCTATGATGAACAACATGACCACCAAGTACACCCAAAGAGCCCATGCAACGTGAAAGCAAGCACCGATGAAGCCGGCGAGAGAGATGATGAGTATGACAAAGCCAACCACTAGAAGTGGGGTTTGGAGGAAGCTTTCACAGGTGGTTTTGCTCTTTGCCATCCATAGGGCTCCGCCGATGATCGGTATCGACCCTAGGAGGGTGAAGAGGTTCAAGAAACCGATCACTGTGTTGCTAAATCTATACATCTCTTATGTAGTCTCTGTGTGTCTCTATCTCTCTAGCTTTCTCACTTATAGTGCTGCTTTTATTCTTGTTCTTTCTTCTTCAGCTTTCTCTTTTTGATGGATGAGCTTCCAGAATTCTAAATGCCTATCACTTTTGCAAATGTGCTTTTGCTACATTAGGGTCTTAAGGAACTTTATTTGCAAAATGTAAAAATGAATAAATTGCACTTAATCAGCTATTAAGGAACTTGATGTCGATCGAACTTTTAGAGTGACTTAAATGCCCTTTTCAGATTGTTAAAGAGAATTTTTATTTTATTTTTTTGTTGGAAAATACATATTAACCATTTGTTCTTATGCACACTTGAAACCTCACCTCGTGTTAGCTTCCGGCCCATATTGTGTAGATATTGTTCACTTTGCCCCATTCCATGCTCACCATTTTCGAAACACTTCTACCCAGTAGGAGGCATCATACGTCGTGGTGGTGCAGGTGTATGGTGGTGCTGGAAGTGATAAAGGTGATGTGGTAGAAGACGGCAGTGGTGGCCGTTCACGATTAACCCTATGATTTTTTAATATAAAACCCGACAATGGGTCAATTTGCCGGATAGAAAGTTATTTTTGGTTGGAAAATACATATTAACCTTTTGTTCTTACGCACACTTGAAACCTCAACTCGTGTTAGCTTCTACCCATGTTGTGTAGATATTGTTCACTTTGCCCCCATTCCATACTCAGTGTTTTCGAAACACTTCCACACAATCCTACGTGGTGGTGCAGGTGTATGGTGGTGCTGAAAGTGATAAAGGTGACATGGTAGAAGACGGCAGTGGTGGCCGTTCACGATTAACCCTATGATTTTTTCTCTCTCAACTGTCTAGCTCAAAGTGATATATCAAAAATAATGAATTAAAGTGTTTAATATAAAACCCAACAATGGGTCAATGTTGCTGGATAGAAAGTTAAATTTCCTCCATTGTGTAGCAGTTACATATTATTTGATTTGCAATTTTTTTCCATGTTGATGAACTTCATCAAGCCAAGTACATTTCTTTCCCTAATGAGAAAAACTATCATAAAAGAAATTAAATTTACATCATTAATTAACATACCCAACTACTAATACATTACAAGAATTTAGGACCTATTTGGTTCGTCTTCTTAAAAATTTCATAAAACTGTTTTTAAAAAATTACAAATTTTTATTTTTAAATATTAATCTTTTCTAACTGAGTTTTCATAAACAGTTCTCTAAGAAAATATTATTAAAACAAATTTTTGCTTTTTGCTGCTTTGAAAATAAACTGTTTTCAGCAACTAAAGAGGCCTTTAGTTCCGACAAGGTTAGAAAAATCAAGGTAAAGGTATCAATTCGAAGTGTACTGGGTAGAGGCAAGCAAAGAATAACGGGGTACTTTTGTCAAATGACGAAGTGTGGCCCACTGAATGGCCTGAGGATATGGAGCCCATTTTTCTTCTTTATGAAGCATGATCGGAACAAGAATTAGGTCGACGTCCATGGGTGGGCATGGAATCTACGGATATATGCTTTTTTAAAAATTCTCATCTCCTACTTGCTTTGTTTAATGCTTGTTAAGTTCTCATTACGGCTCTCCACTAGCTTTCAAGTGGAGAAAGATACCAAGCCTGCCTTTTTACTTATAATGTACTTCACCATTATATTCTTTCGAATAATATATTAAACGTACTGCTTGATAAGTAATTGTAATTGATATATATATATATATATATATATATATATATAGTACTAATTAATGGAATACAATACATCAATATTGTCTGCTGTCGTCTCACATTGCTTATAGCAAGAGACGGATACATAGAAGGGTAGTTAGAGTTATTTTAGCAACCTGTTCTCAATGATGGCTCACTCGACCAGATTTTATATACGGAGTATATATATATATATATGAGAACAGGTTGCTAGAACTCAACCAGATTTTATATACGGAGTATATTAAATATATATATATATATATATATATATATATATATATATATATATATATGAGCAGTGATAGACTTGACGGATTGCAATGTTTCACCTACTCATTTCGAGTCTGTTTGTTTAGTGTTTTTGCTTCGTGCTTTTGTTTTGACCCAAAATAAAAGATTATTTCTGTTTTAGAGTGTGTTCAATACTATTTCTAAACTTATTTGGTAATGTAAATTTACTGCAAGATTTTTGAAAGCAAAAATATGAAAGCATGTTTGATAAAAAGTATTACAAGTTTGAAAAAATTGAATAACTAGTTAAAAATGTCATTTTAGAAATATATATATATATATATATATATATATATATATATATATTTTTTTTTTTAAAAACAGTGCTTTGCTACTATGCGGAAGCAAACAAAAACATTATTTTTATGCTTTTGATTTTGGCCTCAATTTTGAAAGCGTTTCGGTATTATTCAAATGACAGCAAACGTTACCAAACATGCTTCGTATTTTTGCTTCATTACAGTACACTAGTAAAAACAAAAAACACGAAGCAAAAACATTAACCAAACGGCCTTTCACAAAGGGATCAGAACAACTAAAAATATAAAAAATTGTATTTGTATAGTATTTGTTTATGCAATTCTTCATCAATCCATTTTTCAAAAGAGATTGTGTCTAGGAAGAAAATTTTCTTGTGTCAAATGGAAAATCGCACTTTTTTTTTTTTTTAGATGGTAAAGCAAACACACACACACTTTTTTGCTCACGCCGAGCTCAAACCCCTCCCCTTTTCTTTGAAGATGGGGAGGTTATACCATTGGGCCAAAGGCCTTTTGGTGAAAATCGCACATTTGTTACAATGGTTGGTTTATCTTATCAGTAGCCTGGCGGCCTTAAATAGACAAATATTGAACTTAAGCCTGGTTGAAAAATTAATTGCGCATAAAAAAAGGCCAAACCCAAAAAATATAGGTCCAGCCTTACGAGCATAGGCCCGTGGGCATCTCATTTTTTTTTTTGTTCTTCTCTTAGAGCAAATACACATACTCATTATCCATCAGATGTTGCTAATGAGAGTTTAACTCTCGATTGCTCCTTTGAGAGGAGAGATCACACCTTTGAGTTTGAGGCCTTTTGGGACCACAACGGTTCCTAATGAAATTAGACCCTCAATCTTCTCCTTGAGAGATTTAAAATCATAGGGTTGGAAGCATTTTAATATAAGTTTTCAAGTTTTAACGATTTTTTTTTTTTTTTTTTTTTGATATTTTAAGAAATAATCTGCATGTATCAAAGGTGGTTATAGTGGATTATAGGTGCTTTAAGAGACTTAACACTACCATTGTTGATGGGGAAAAAAAAGAAAAAGAAAAGAACAACTTTGAAGGACAGCCATCCAACGCCTGCATTTCAAAAAGAAAGAAAGAAAGAAAGAAAAAAAAATTGATGTAATTAATAAAGTTCACTTGAACCCTAAACCCATTATCACTTTACAAAATCATTTCTCCTAACTATTATATATATATATGTTAGAAGTAGGGAGAAAGACAATAATATAGAATTATATTATATTATATTGATGCATGTGTGGTATTCAATGTATTGAAAACACCTATATATAAGAGTGAGGAATAGGGGTAGGTGAATGCTGTGCAAGTTAGGGTTACGGAGTGATGGATAAGAAATCTAAGTAAGGTAAGTACGTGAAGGTGGCTACAGTAAACCCTAGGATTATATACAATATAATATAACATCCCCGGCCCCTTCAAAATCAAGGTGAATTAAATAAAACCATCTTGAGTTTGGAAATGAGATCTCCAAAGCAGCTGGCGAAACCGATTTGGTGAAGATATATGTTATCTGATCATGAGAAGTAATGGACCGCAACTGCAAGGTCTTCTGAAGAAGATGATGACGAATAAAATGGCAATCGATCTCAATGTTTTTGGTGCACTCGTGAAAGACATCACTCCTATTATCACAATAGATAGGAGTGGCAGTGGATGAAGAAACTCACATGTCCTGAAGGAGCTAACGAACCACAGAAGCTTTGAAGTACTATCAACAAGGGCCCTGTACTCAACTTCCGTACTAGAACGAGCAACCACAGTTTATTTTTTGCTGCGCACCAAGAGATAAGTGAATCACCAAGAAAGAAAGAAAAGCCTGTAGTGGAACGAGAATCTATGGGGTCTCCTACCCGGTCTGTATCTGAAATAGTGAATCACCAAGAAAGAAACATAGTATCTTTGAGATAGTGAATGATGCGAAGAACTGTAACAAAATGAGTAGATCTAGGGGCAGCCATAAACTGACTGACAATATGAACAGAATGAGAGATGTTTGAGAAGTTAACATTGAAATAAACCAGACTACCAACCAATTGTTGATACAATGTAACATCCCGAAGAGATTCACCATCATGTAGATTGAGTCTCATGTTGTGCTCGAGTGGTATATCAATAATGTTGCTATCAGTTAAGCCTACTTTTGAAAGAAGGTCTGATATGTATTTTTCCTAAGTAAGGTAGTAACCATCTGTAGCTGTAGTGATCTCAAGACCAAGAAAATAACTGAGGGGTCCAAGATTCTTCATCTCGAACTGAAGACTGAGAAACTATTTGAGCTCCTGAATTCCTGTCAAATCATCTTTAGTAATAATCATAAAGTAAAAGAAGAATAATACCTTAGTTAGTGCGTTAAATGAATAAAGCTGAATTATAATAACTAGTAGAGAATCCAAGACAAGAGATAGTTTGACTGAATTCGGCAAACCAAGCTCGATGTGAATGTTTGAGACCATATAGAGCTCTTTGGAGTTAACCAACCTTATTAGAAGGATGATGATAACCTGGAGGAGACTGCATGTAAACTTCCTCAAGTAAATCTCCACTGAGAAAGGCATTCTTAAAATCCATTTGAAAAAGTCCCTAGTGACAATTAAGAAGTAGCCACAGTAATAAAGAGTATAAACAGATGGAAGGCGTGCAACAGAAGTAAATGTCTCCTCAAAATCAATGTCATATTCTTGTGTGAATCCTTTGGCTACAAGTCGGGTTTGTAGCACTCAACAGACCCATCTGAATGAGTCTTGATCTTATACACCCATTTACATCTCATTGCAGACTTTTCAGGAGGCAAATAAACCAGATCCCATGTCTGAGTTTTGGTTGGTGCATCTAACTCCTCTTTCGTTGCTTGTTACCATAAAGGGTTAAAAGATGCTTCACGAAAAGTGTAAGGTTCATGTAAAGTTATAAGGGCATGATAGAAATGGAAATCATTAAGATATGCAGGTGGAGCCCTTACCCGAGTGGAATGGGGGTGAAGATTTGAAGTAGTTATGCTAATAGGAGCCTTAGAAGGGTCAGATGGGTGGGACTTGATCGAAGGAGGATTGATTGCTTCTAATGATTCTGAAGGTCAAGAATCAGGAAAAAGATTTGTATTGTATGTTAATGGAGGAACATGAAATATATTTTCAAAGACATTAAATTTGGACAATATATGGAACATCTTGTGTTCCCAGAAGACTATATGACGAGAGACTCTGAGTCATTTAGCGACAGGATCATAACACCTATACCCCTTCTGTCTTATTACATACACAAGAAAACAACAAAGTTAAGCGCATGGTTGTAATTTTGTGTGTTCATAAGGTTGAAGAAGAACAAAGCATACATACCCAAAAACTCTAAGATGGTGGTAGACATGTGGGTTGTCATAGTCATATAGACGTTCATATGGTGTTTGGTTATGCAAGATAGATGATGGTACATGATTAATGGTGTATACAGCAGTGAGGCATGCTTCCCCTAAAAAAGAGGTAGGAATAGAAGCAGAGAGGGTGAGTGAGCAAACTGTGTCTAGAATATGTCGAGTTTGCACTCGACCATTCCATTGTGATGTGCTTGGACAATATGAGTGAGTGACAGTGCCATAATGTTTGAGTATTTGAAAAAATGCATTTTGTTGATATTCCATAGCATTGTCAAAACGAAAAACTTTGATGATTTTTTGGAAAATTGAGCTGATATTATTTTTGCAAAATCAAGATATATGTCAAGTAACTCAGAACGGTTTTTCATAAAAAAAAAATCCATGTGAACAGCAAAAATCATCAACAAATATCATAAAATACCGTTATCCCCTCATGGTAGACACAGAAGGTCCCCAAACATCATAACGAATAACGTCAAAAAAAGTAGAAGCACATGACTCACTTGTACTAAAAGGTAATGCAGGTTGTTTCCTAGCTGACATGAAATACAACCAAAATTCTCAGTTTTAACTTCACCTAACAAGTCTTTAGAGACTAAAGATTTGACACTAAGCAAGAAAGCATGACCTAAGTGAGAGTGTCATAATTCAATAGAAGATGAATTGACTTGTGTAAATGCAACAGAGATGGTGGGAGTTGGCATGGTAGGAGTGGGCATATGAAGAGATGGGAGTTTGAACAATCGACCAACCTTATGCTCGGTCCTAATAATCTGCCTAGTCCAAGGATCTTATACAACACAACCATTAGAAGAAAATGTTATGTTTAAGCCTAACTCAGTTAATTGACCAACTGATAAAAGATTAAGAGAAAGTTTTGGTATACGAAACACATCAGGAACGGATAATTGGGAGTGAGAAATAGTCACCGTATGACTAATGTTCATGGTGGATCCATCAGCTATATGAATGACAAGTGATTAAGGTGCAGGAGTTTGAGTGGTAAGGACAGTGGAATCGGATGTCATGTGATTACAGCAACCAAAATCAAAATACCAATATGTATTTTTACCTGGCGTGGTAGAAAAAGAAGAGGAAGATGCACCTTGTATTATAGTCAAAACCTGATTGATAATTCCCTCAAGGTCAGTTGCAGAGAATTTAGATTAAGACTTGTGAGTAATGCTAGACACCGGTTCTAAAGTTGGAGCTAGAGCCCGTGACTGCAGTGGCATAGTGTGAGAGGTAACCATTGGAGTAAATGAAGTCAGTTTAACATGAGTGCGACATTAATCAATGGAATGCCCACGAATCTGACAGAGTGTGCAGTAGAGGGAGTAAGCACGTCTGTTGTGACGAGAAGATGCTGACTGAGAAGGCATTGATGTAGGAGCATTATGAGTCTACAAGCTTGCCTTCTTGTTATCAAGCTCATTGAGAAAAGCTTGAATAAGATGAATTATCCCATTTTTTGCCATTTAGAGATCTCAAATGCAAAACCAGAATGCAAATTTGAATCAGCGCGAAAAACTAGGCTGAATATGTGTCTTAGAAAATTAATTTTGACACTAATGACATGGCAGATGGCCTGACGGATGACGCGACAGATTAGGTGGTTGATGACATGACAGTTAATTAACCTAACAATGACGTGGCAGCTGACTAAACTGATGATGTGCCTGGCTTACATGTCAGGATGGGTCCCTTTTGTTGGCGTGGCAGCTAACGTGTCGGTTGATGTGGCAGGCGAGACTGGACCGACGATGTGGCTGCCTGAACCTGCTTTTTAGTGCATGCGGGCATGTGAGATTGTTTTGCGGCATGTGTGAGCACGTGAGTTGACAGTCGGCGTGTGGAAGCGCTTGTCAGAATGAAGGAGGGTACAACAGCTTGTGGTGGCGCATGTGGGAGCATGTGGACTTCGTTTTGGCTGTTTTTGGTGGCGTTGAGAAAGTCTAAGTTTGTACTTTCATGTGATGTGATCAGAAGTGTGAAAGGACTTGTGAAAGACTTGTTTCAGACACCAAACATGTTGTATGTTCTTGACAGGCTTATTTGGAACACGATAAAGAAATTAAAACACGAAAAATAGAGAAGATGACTTTGATACCATGTTAAAAGTAGGGAGAAAGAGAAGAATACATAATTGTATTATATTGTATTGATGTGTGTTTTTCAATGTACATAAAAACACCTATATATAAGAGTGAGGAATGGGGGTAGGTGAGTGTTGTACAAGTTAGGATTACAGAGTGATGGACAAGAAATCTAAGTATGGTAAGTGGGTAGGTGAAGCTGGCTACAATAAACCCTATGATTATATACAATATAATCTAACAATATATAATGATGAAAACAGAAAAACTGCAGCGATAATTTTTATTATAAAAGATGCAATTATGGAATTAAGAAGGGTACTTATATCCAATGCAACACAAATCTCTCACATGAGTCACAACCCCCCAAAGGTTAGGGAAGCAACACAATAAAAACAAAACCTCTTACACATGCAACAAGAGATTAAGGAAAAAATACATATAATTTAGAAGGGTACTTATACAGTTATACCCAATGCAATACTTGAACCAACATAATATAACATATACACACACACACACACACACACAAATTGTTGTAATTAAGATGGTGGATCTGGCATTGGTGAATTCGTTAGAAAATGCTGAAACAAGATGAATCCAAGTCGAGGGCGTTCTAGTGGAACCTCGTGCCCTGCTCCTCTCACAACCACAAAGGTTAGACCATCGTATATTTGGCTCCACCCACCAACCTATTCAATCCAACAAAAACATACACAACAAAAATTACCATTTACTAGTACTTAAAACTAGATTTTGCTACAAACACACATAACCACGTGTATATAATATAATAGTATATGTGTAACAATTCTCATTTAAATGAATAATGACTAACCTGTTGTAGGTCTTTGTAATCGTACCAGGCGTGCCAGTTGTTTATGGTCTTTAGGTTTAGGGCTTTAATAGAATATCGAGTTGAAGTCAATGGAACAGCAAGATCCGTATCACCACTGCTTGTAGAGTTCAACGTTAGCATAATGGTATTGAGGCCGAATAGTTTGAACGAAATGAGAAGTCCGAAGATTCCTCATTCGATGGATACAGTACATAACTTAGTCTCACATTACTCCTAATTAAATAGTGTATGTAACGGATGAGAAGCCTTCAGCTCTCGAGTTTGTTCAAAGTCTTTGACTTTTAAATCGTTATTGATAAATAAAAGTATTAAATAAATAGAGAGAGAGATGAATATTGTCCTTGAATGAACATTTGAAGTTCTACTAGAAAGAAAAAAATTAAAAAGGGGTTACCTGTGTACCCAGATCCTGATACCAGCAGCTATAAGTTCTTTAAATATGGGAAGCACAGAACTTGAAGAATCTGAATAGTTACCTCTAACATCATCACTGTAAAATATAATCAACTCGTTCTTAATCCATTTTAAAAGGACAACTTACAAGTAATTAAAATACTGAGGGTTTGTTTGGTTTACTTTTTTAATAATAGTCTTTTATTTTAAGAAAACTAAATATAGAACATGTTTCCAAATTTTGAGTAATTAGTTCACATTTCATAAAAATATCCCATACATTTATATATATATATATATATATCAGTTTTTGAATTCTTCAAAACTACCAATCCTCGATCACTTTGCCCCCAAGAGTTCTGAGTTTTTTTGCTTCCATCTACATGTTAATTAAAAAGATATTTGAACCTACACTTGCAATAAAAACAAATTTTAAATTTATTTTTACTATTATTATTTTTTTTTTAAAAAAAGAAGAAAAATAATACTAGGTAGATGGGCATCCTTACTTGCAAGTTGTGTATGGATGAGGTATCTTTGCACTATTTACATGAAGAGCCTTTTGCACATCCGACCTATTCAAGTACATTTTTGTGTACTTCACAATGCAAGTCCCATCGTTTCCTCCGAACCTCCATTGCTGCTCTCCCACGTAACATAATCTCATGAGTAATGATACTTAGGTTCACTTGGTAGCACTATTAATTCTTATGGTGAAATAATTAAGATCTTTAAAATAAATTTAATTTTTTTTTTAAAATGTTAAAAATTTGTAAACTTCACGATACAATAACATTTGATAGTCGAGTATTTCACATAATAGTGGAGTTTATGGATTGTGAGTCGTCAGTGCCCTACGCTACCAGAGAATGCAAACTGCATGTTTAAAAGACATTGAACTTACCAGTGGACTCCAGTGATGCCCAAGAGTCCCAGTTTCTTCGCATTTTCTCCTATAGAGGCTGTACTGATTAATGTTCCCAGCCTCAACCCTAGTGAGATACAGAGCTTCGTTACAGTTGTCGCTAGGATGTATAAAGGATTCATTTGAGCAAAACTTAATTACTGCCTCATATGTTGAATCAGATATCAGACCATGGTTCCACCAGAACTCGTATGTCCCAATATTATTGTAATAGTCATCAAAAAGGGCATTGCCTACCTGATATATTGTAACAATGTTAAGAAGAAATTAAAAATACATTTGTTAAAAAATAAAATAAGGATGTGTTATATTATGTTATATAGTAATTAAATGCTATTATTAATCCAAATATATATATATATAAAGGAGGACGTACCAAGAAACCTTTGAAATTAATAATAGGATTTTTGATGCCTTTGTTCCTGCGCACTATAAGTTGAGATAGCTGAGGAACGTAATGACCTAAATAATTAAAGATGATTATAAGATTCACTCATATATGTTTATGAAACTAAATTAATTATATAAATAATAAGTTAGAGTTTCAAAGTTGGACAATTTGACTAATTAAAGTGAGTGGGGAATGACGGTCATTATGATGTCATTAACATTCTTGACATCGTAATGATGTCAACCTCTACTCATATAAAATTAGTCAGATTTGTCCCTGTCATTCTAAAAATATATATGTTGTGATTAATCACTCAAATTCTTTGTGCAAGATTTTTATTGTTATAATGAATTAAGGACACCATTATTATGAGAATAAATGTACCCTATTTATATCTCAAGATGCTATCTCTGTTACTAAAAAAAAATTAGGTGCGAGCCTGAACTCAGTTACAAAACAAAATCATGTTATGATTTGATTGCACTTGATAAAATCAATATATAGTACTTGATGAAATCAAATAAAATCTTTCATATATGTGCGTGAATGTGTGTGAGTTATGGATCTAACACTGTAATCTTAATCCTGGTTTCAATCTGATTTATGGGTCCAGCAAATAATTTGGTTTATTAAAAAAAAAATTAACAACAGACAATGATGTAATAGTATGCAATGAGAACCTCCATAGCTTTCTCCTGCAATGTAAAAAGTCCTGTGCTTGTATTGAGGAAATCTTTCAAACCATTTGACAAGAAACGTATAAGAATCTTCAGCTGCAGTCCAAAATTCAGTCCATTAATGTTTAATACAAATTAATTAACTCTATATATAAACATACGCAATATACACACACGTGTGTATATATATATATATATATAGAGAGAGAGAGAGAGAGAGAGAGAGAGAGAGAGGCCATATATACCAGTTCTCTTGTCTCCAACATTGATTACATCAGAAACAGTACTTGAATATGAGAAACCAACTCCAGCCGGAGAATCAAGAAAAAGCAAATTGGCCTCTGAGAAAAGCAATTACAATCATCTTAGAAAAGAATAAACATACATTAATTTCCAAAATAGGTGCAAAATCAATGTCCTCTTGTACACATAGCAAACAAAAGTATTGAAAGAACAAAATAAGATCAAATAGATTGATAGAGGGTTAAAAAGGTAAAATAAAGTTTCATGTTCTCCACAACAGGGGAACCCAAACAAGTTTTGATTCCTCTGCTAATTTTCTATTTCTTGCAGGATAACCGACTACTCACAGAGGTGTCTGTGTGAACTCCACCATTTGAGAATGTCACACCAAGTATTCAGTTATACCGACTATTACAAGGAATATAATTATTTAAAAAAGAAATAATAATAATCAATAAAATATCACACATTAAGGGTTTTAAGTATTCAACAACTATACTTTAGGTGTTTTCAACTCACAAGTTATGAAATTTGAAGTGAAAAAATAAATCTGCACCTCTACTCCAAGCATATGGGCTGACGGTGAGAGTGAGCCCATCTGGACGAACTCGAAAAGGCCCAATTTCCTCTGAGGCTCCATAAGCAACAGAGGAGCAACCAGGGCCACCACTGAGCCACAGAACAAGTGGCTTGGACATTGGATCCCTGCTGGCCGGAGCTTCAATCAACCAGTAAAATAAGTTCCGGCCAATCGGCGGATCCACCGTTACGTAGCCGGAGTACTGTGAGAAGTCCACATTTGAAGGCTGCCCTGGCAAGTCTGTGACCCTGTCCATCTCTTGCTCTTTAGGGTAATCTCCGGCTGCAAAGGACAGTAACAACATAACAATGGCACAAACACTTGGCAAACAACAAGAAGAGCTCTTGCAGAGTTGCTCCATAATTTTCATGATCGAGTTGGTTAGTTTGGAGCTGTAGGACTCCTATACCTACACACACACACACACACACAGAAAGTATAGGATTATTTGAGGCTACCTAATAATCACTCCTTTCTTTTTCTTTCCATTTTTGCAACGCATAGTGGACATGTTTTCTTAGTTGATATGTTTTGAGCCAAAAATGAGAGATTGTGAAAATGATATCCTCTTTAAATGGCCCAAACAGGGCACTGAAGGTCAACCTACTAAATAGTACATCACATTAAATTAAAGTTTGTGCACACAAGATTAGCATATTGAACCGAAAGCAAAGAGGAAACAAACCAGAATTCCTTGAAACATCTAAAATACAAGTCCCATGAAGAAATTTTAAGGAACTTTTCTGATGTTAATAAACAATGAAACACTTTCTAATCTAAAACTGAAAAGTAGAATGGGTGAAAATTGAAATTTGGGTAAATAAGGGAACATGAAAGGGGTTCAACAAAAAAATGATGCTCCAATATAATATATTTTTGTACACTAAAAAAAAAAATTTGCTTGTTTTATTAAAAGTATGATGGAAGATAATCACTAATTTACAGTTTAGACCTGGATACTATTGTTTTTTATTTTCTAAAAAACTATATTACAATTTTAATTAACCCAAAATATTTTTATAATTACATTGGAACCCCATTTTTAATACATACAAATATATATATATATATATATATATATATATATATATATTTGCAATACTACTCTGCCAGTTATGAAAATATCCCAGGCATGCTCATGTTGTATAGGGGCGGAACTCTTTGTGGGCTAACTTGGGCTATAGCCGAGGTCCAAAAAAATAAAAAATTAGTAATACTATTTCCTATCAGCCACAGCCCTGCCCAAGCTGCCCAATCCATAATAAAATATAAATGATATATGGCCCAGCCCAGCAAACCAGAGCTACAAGTCTACAAACAAATTTGTCAATGGAACTGAAAGATTGAAGAAGACCTAACTATTCGGGTGTAACTATAGGTTGCCAATCATCGTCTGCATCTCGCAGCTTGAGTGATAAATCGTCTTCTGCGATCTCTGCCACTGTTAGAACTTAAGGAGGCTTTATCGCCAGCACTAGGGTTTTCTCTCAATCATAGGTAGTGTCGCCATCAGTAGTTCAACTTTTCTTGATAAAGCGGAGGCCACTACGCCTGTTTCGTTGATCTTCTCAAGGTAAAATTTCTCCCGTTCACTCTTCTCTCTTCTAATTGATGACACTGTCTATTTTTTCTACACCAATTTTGATATAATATGACATCCTGAATTCTGAATTGTTATTTATTTATTTATTTTTCTTCTTATAGGAGTGATGCATAGAATTTTCATTTTATTTTGTTTAATTTTGTAGGTAATTGGGGTTAGTGATACTTAATTATTTTAATTATTTAGAAATTATTTCTTGGATAAACAATGTATTTCTACAAATTGCAGCATTCTAGGTTTGATCCTTGCAGGTTAATTTTTCTCCAATATGAGAGATTGAGTTTTGTAGATGTGAAATCAAAGTGTGTTGTGGACACGCACATAAATAAAGTACAAAATTACAAATCATACAACAAACAAAGTAGAAGAAACAAAATGGAATCTGACCTTTAAAACACACAAAACACCAAACAAGTCAATTAATCGAGTAGATATATATATATATATATATATATATATATATATATATATATATATATATTTCCTGTGAGACTCTAAAACAGTTGACCGATTAAAATTCTATTATTATTATTTTTAATATATATATATATATATATACTTAGAGTATGAATGACTAGGAAGGCTCTCATATGATCCAAAACAACAAACTTTTTAACAGACTAAAAATCAATTAGGAAAATTACACTTTATAACTTTATTAAACCTAACCATAGTTAATTTACCATAATTAACCAATACCTTTATTCGATCTCTCTCTCCTTAATCTCTTCCATTGTCTTTGTAATCTTAACCACTATTGCCAGATCCACACCATCACAGTCACCATCTTCACCACTATAGTCACAATACAACTATTAAACGCAAGTACTTCTATATCTAGAGCCAATAAATTGCCAGAATTTGGAGATTTTTTTATTTCTGTCCTAGTATTGAGCTATGGAATTCTAGAAAACCCAAATTTAGAGACCTTTTATTGTTTCCATGGCCGGATTAACCAATATATGCTTTCTGTTTGGGACTCCATTATTGGAGGTTGTGTATATTCACGAATCATAAAAAAATTGATATCCTTTGAACCCCCCCAAAAAAAAAAGAAGCTTATTCACGAAGTGTGGAATAATGAGTTGACGAAAAAAATAAAAAATAAATAAGAGAGCAACAGTCAGACCATGAAGGGAAAAAAATAAATAAATAAAAAAATAAAAGTGCAAAATGAAGAGAGAGTGACCTGGATTCGATTTTGGTTAGTGGTTGAGATTGCCAGGACAATGGAAGAGATTAAGGAGAGAGATTGAATAAAAGCATTGGCTAATTATGGTAAATTAACTATGGTTATGTTTGATAAAGTAATAAAGTGTAATTTTTCTAATTGATTTTTGGTCCGTTGAAAAGTCCATTGTTTTGAACCGCGTGAGAGTCTTCCCGTATGAATGACACACTAATTTTTTATTTTTATTTCTCTTTTCCTTTTGTCAGCTTTATAGGTGATATGCAATTAGACATGCCTTTTATTTTTATTTTTATTTGTTGAAGCATTACAAGGTAGGAATTTTTCACCCCCAAGATGAAAAATTTTCTTATCTTTAGCCTCTCACTTTGCAATCCTAGGTCCACCCCTGATGTCATGTCTCAATTGTGTTAAATGGAGCAAAATAATGTTTAAATTATTGGATACTTTTATTCATGTCGGACACATACGTGTTCGACGAGTCTCATGCTGTCAGTATCAGAGACGAGTTCTACACTTCCACAACACTCTTAGAGAAGTGTCTATACTTTTTAAGCGCCACACTTGGAATTCTCTAAAAAAAAAAGAAAAAATCAACCATGGTTGTGTTTGGCTTATTAGATAACCATCTAATTTATCCACACTTGGAATTCTCTGAAAAAAAAAAGAAAAAATCAACCATGGTTGTGTTTGGCATATTAGATAACCATCTAATTTATCATCGAGTACATGCATTTCTCCCTTCTCACATGTGAACAATTACTTCTCCGAGCGGACTTAAATGAATTCTAACTCCCAACCCCTACAATGATAGGTGAAAGTCTAGCGGTTGGGCTATCCCTTATGTATGAACCTCAGTCTGAATGCGTTTCCCCTGTTCCAACAATAAACGTGGTACTTTCATAATGTAATGAATTGCGTAAAGAACAAATTGCTCTTTGGTTGAATTATGAAATGTGGTCCCTTTGACTCGCTTTCAGGCGCCCAACACATTTAGGTGCTCCTTTTTGGTCTCACTCATTGCTATGTTTGATTTTCTTTTTTACTCCACCAGTTTTATGGGACCACCAAAAGTATTGCACCATTCGTGATCGTTCAAATTTTGAAATTGCGTGGAAAATGTGATCATGCTTCCACAAACTTTTTGTACCAAAACAGCCTCACCATACACTGCATATCATGAAAACGCGTGTTTTCCATTTTTTCACATAAATTTTTTTTTAATCATAATAAAAACTCATATTGCGTTTGGTAACATTGAATCGATGTATTAAGTTTGAGATTAAAGAAAATTTACTCTATATCTTTCAATCCCAAAACAAGAACAAATTATATTCGTATTACGGTCATGGGTGGCCACAATGCCAAGCTATTCTTTTTGGGTATGAACTAAAGAATCTCTCTGGTGCACTGTGACGTACTGTTAATTAATTGGTACAATGAAATCTTTGAATTAACTTGACATTCTAAGAAAGTAGCCTATACTTTTTTTTTAGTTAAAAGGTAAGCATAAGTAGCCTATACTTGATAACATTGTAGCCTGCCTTATACTATTTCATCTGTTTTTTAAAGTAAAATAAAAACATAAGGATTTATTTGTTGCGAAATTAAACAGAAAATAAAAGAATGCGATTAAACACACATAACATGAACATATAGTTTTACTTGATTTACCTAAAAATTAGGGCTACATTTGTAGGAATTTCACTATGATGATCAAAGTAGAAATGGATATAGAGAGTTCAGAATTAAAAATTAAAAAAAAAAAAAAATTTAAAAAAAAAAAATTCAAATGAAATTGACAGAGTTGGATCTTACTGTACAGTATCTATCAAGTTTCACAGTACTCGTCATTATTATGCTACCAAACACAATAAATAAAATAAAATAAAAACTGAAGGCAATATTGTGGAACCACCATTGGATCATAAATTAAATAATATAATTTCAATGACGTGGTCCACATTGAATCTTCCGGTAGCAATTCAAGAAAAATTACTTACTCATGATAAACCTGCACTTCTCTACACAATGCAACCAAATGTGTGTATCCTTTGTCTAAGAGCTGCTGAAAATCACGAACATTTGTTCCACCAATGTGATTATTCAAAAGTTGTATAGGCTGGTCTTCAACATAAATGTGGGTTCTACACAAACCCTAACTCTTGGAAAGACTTCCTAATTTGGGCATCATCTAATTGGAAACAGAAACTTAAGAGAAGTAGAGTTATGGTTTGGAAGCTAACATTGGCTAGCTATGTTTATCACATTTGGAAGGAGCGAAATAATAGAATGTTTAGAAATACCTCATTACCTCTAGGTCAAACAATGAACTTAGTGATCAACGCAATCAGGCTGAAGCTATTCTCTGTCAAGAAAGTTGAATGCCCCTTTGCGAGAGAAATTGCAGCAGATTGGAATCTCCCAGCTTCTTTTTATGAGCCTGACCAGTCAAATCCCTTCTTCCATTTCGCAACACTCAACTCACCCAAAATCCTCCACCTCTACCACCATCACCATTTCCACTGATCCCAACTTCTCAACACCTTCCCCGACCATAACCAGTAGTGTGGATTCTTCATGGTTTGTTGAGTCATCCCACCCGAGAATGTGGTTGAAGGTAGTTAATGCTATGGATGCATAATGTTGTATTTCGGCTTTTGGGCTTGTAGGTTTCTTTGGGCCACTATAGTGGACTTTCTTGTTTTCTTTTTTCTTTCTTTCTTTTTTTTTTTTTTTTTTTTTTTTCATGCCCAGTTTTGTATGGGCTGAGGGACCTTCTTGTAATTTCCTTCTTTTTTAATGAATTACTTATTTACCAAAAAAAAATATGACATTTTTTGAGCAACATTGGGTTTGGTAAAATTGAATTGTCCACCAGAAGAA